GTCGGATTGGGCAGCAAAGGGCTGCTTAAATGCCGCAAACTCCTCTGCTCCTCCACTTGGACCGCTAGCGGTGGCCATAACTACCGCTTGACAGACTGACCACCATACACATATTTTCTTTTCTTCTTTTTCGAATCTTCGGATCACGTGCGTGCCGAACCGTGGAGTGGGATGGGTTCGGATTATGGATCAACCGTGATCCGTTGCACCACTAACTCCAATCTGGGTTTACACCCTATGCAATTCAGATTTCGCACTCTTCATTCAACTGAAACGTCTGTTTTTGTTGAGAGAGTGAAATCTTACTTAGACAAGAGCAGTTATGTTACAGCTGTTTTTCTTGATTTCAAGTGTGCGTTTGACACTGTGAATCATCTTAAGCTCTTGTCTAGGCTGTCAACATTTAACATTAGTAATCACACCGTTAAATGGATACAGTCTTATCTATAAGATAGAAAACAATGCGTGCAAATAAAGAATAGCAAGAAACTGGAAATAAAAAGTCCTCTCACTGTTTACTCCTTGTACACATTTTTCTGCAGAGAAATTGTCTCAAATGTCGAATCAGAGGGGGACACAAACTTCCAGAAATCCACTGGAGCCTTAATCTCAGACAAAGACCGGGAATTAGAAACTCTGAGGAATGAGGTACTCACGCTCAACTTACAGTATCTTGGACACGCTACATTTGTCCTGTGTAATGCCAAATATGTAAGGTATTTGTCTGTCTCTATTGGCAGATCGCGGTGCTGCGAGGAGAAAACGCCATGGCCAAGACCCTGCAGTCGGCCGTGGAAACGCTAGAGAGAGACAAAGCTCAGCTGCAGAGCCGCGTTCACAGTCTAGAGCAAAGGCTTATGGGAGCACAAGCCTCGGAGGAAGGAGACAAGGAACTCCCACCCTCTGGTGAGAAAATACCTCAGTCTTGTATCTGACAAGAGATACAAAAAAATAGTTTGTGGACTCTTTTTCTTGTCTTTGACATACTTTTGCAGGTGATGCAGCTCTGGAGCAGCTGAGGGAAGAGAAGGAGTTTGCAGAGGGACAGGTAAGACTTGCTGCTAACAGAACTGATCTCATTCTCGGTTTCCAGTTAATGTTTGCACACGTTTGCACACATGACCCCAGCGTCCTTTAAGAGGAGATATGTGTGATTTTCTCCATCAGATCAACTTCCTGAATAGTGTGATTGTGGACCTGCAGCGGAAGAACGAGGAGCTGAAGATCAAATTGAAGAAGCTTGCTTTGTCTGAGTTCAATGGTAACGACGGGACTGATGGGTAAGAAATATACTGTTAAAAAAATGTAACTAATGAGCACAAACAAATCATCTAGAATTGATCAACTAGACTAATTAACTAGTTTTTCAATCAAAAGTGCCAATCAATCTCTCTTGCTTGTGTAGTCAGTTTTCTGCTGTTCTCGCTTATTATAATTGAGCAAAGCTTTTAGTTCAGACAGACAATTGACAGAAGTTGCAACGCGCGTTTGCGCACATATAAAAGGCACTGTTTTTGTCCGCCTGAGTGACATTTCTTTGGAGGTGGAGGAACACCAGAGTAATTGCTTAAAGCTGCTTCTTTGACATCTTTAAGAGTTCTAAACAAATGTCTGTCCTCCTCCAGAAAATCTTATGTACGCAAACGCGTGTTGCAACTTCTTATCTGGTGCACGTCTTTTATTTTGACAGCGAATGTGCACCTGCGGACCACTTACGTGCACCCCTGGTCATAACAATTAAAACCGCTCCTGGACCACCAGCGCACTTGACTCATCACATTGTTGTCTAACACTTTCAAGGAAAAAGACTAGGAAAACACTAGTGTAGTATACAATGATTTACATACCACATATTCAGATAAAAACCCATGGCCACAGCTTGTGTGTTTTCGCTTTTCTCTATAATGTAGGTTTGATGAAGGCATATCAAAGCGAGAGAAGAAGGCAACCCCGCGTCTCTTCTGTGACATCTGTGACTGCTTTGACCTCCACGACACAGAGGACTGCCCCACTCAGGCTCAGAGCCCCGACTCTGTACCTCACACCACCTACCATGGCAACCCTGCCGTTGAAAGGCCCTACTGTGATATCTGCGAGGCCTTCGGACATGCCACAGAGTCCTGCAATGATGATCAGACCTTCTAGAGGCTCCAGGTGTTTTATTCTCCTTCCCCTTCCTTTTGCTTCCTCGCCTTAGTAAGTTCAGTTACCACCGTTTCCTCTCCTGTTCTTTTTTCCCCACAGTCCAACCCAACATGTCTGAATATAGCCGCTGCAAATTTTTCCATAATGTATTTTTATACCGTATTTATGCATATCAGAAGTAGACACTGTCCTGGTCTGAATCCTTTACTCTGCAGCTCCATTCTGTGTCATGAAGAATGCTCGTCCAAATACTGTATGCTGCTTTGGTGCAATATTGATGTTAATAACAAAAGGAATCCGTCCTCTGCACTTGTCATTTTTAATGTTTGTTTTCCATTTCAGTTTCTCTAAAATAACTTCGGCTGAATTTGTTGATGGTCAGCAAAGGGAAGCACAGTTGAATGAAGGGAAAATGAAGCACCTCTCCACTCTGTTTCACATAGCTCAGTGTGACGCTAGAAACCAATCACACTGATGCTGCCATAACTTTTTTTTTATGTTTTAATGCAATATTTTGTAAAGCCCTTTTAATAAAAAAGGGAAAAATATTTTTGGGAAAAAGTAATTATAATAATAAAACTGAAAAAGTTGTAATGTTTTGGTGGACATATAGGTGAAACAAGAAAAAAAAATCCATGCACATCCTCACCACTATATGGGGCAGGTGCTGAAGAAATGCATAAATACAAAAAACGAATTAACAGCTGGCGTACTGCAGAACGCCAG